CGGGGCGATGTTTGGGAGTGAGGGGTGGGGGATTGGTTAGAAGAAAGTACAAGTAAAAAGTAATCGTATTATCTATTTATCTCATAAAACATCAATGAGATTGGTTTATTAAATGTAAATGTCCCATCTCGATGCGAGGGAAAAAAATTAACTTATGCAAGGTGCAACTTCGAGAAAGGAATGATGAAGGATTTCTTTAACTTAGAAAGAAAAATTGTTGAAAAGCGAAAAATTGCAGCTCTTCTTCATAGCAATACTATCTTAATATTTCTATTTGTCCGAAAGGACAATTACAGTTGTCATGTTTTGTAACAAAACATTAGTTTTTATTTCTGTAGCTATGCCACGTTGGTATAATTTACCACATGCACATAGTTTCTCTTTCGACCTCATGCCTTTTGTCTTATATTTGTATGACATAACAAGGACTCATTGGCTGTTAATATAACATTAGACCTACAAGAGCTTGCAAATATAATCCTGCAAGGCACAATACAAGGAGACAGAAGGAGAGGCGGGCTGGGGAATAGAAGGGGGAGAGAATGATCAGGGATGGACACGCCTGGAGCTGAACAACGGTCTGCGAGAGAGAGAGAGAGAGAGAGAGAGAGAGAGAGAGAGAGAGAGAGAGAGAGAGAGAGAGAGAGAGAGAGAGCGAGAAGAGAGAAGAGAGAAGAGAGAAAGACGGAGTAAGAGGTAGCTGGCTGTCAACTCATCTAAAGTGCCCTGAAGGTTGATTACGAGGGGAAGGGTGGTCAGATCTTTTCATTACCTAGAGGTGCCATCTCTTACTCAGAGATTGACTTGCATTGATTCGCCATTGCTTATGGTCGTTGTATGATGATATACACTTTGTCATACTTAGATTAGCATTTCCATTATTATACAATTAATCGGTGCCTTAAGCTGCCATTCTGGATATTTTGACAGACTTTAAAATGAGAGTGTACATATAAGTATTATCATTTAATTTAGAACTCAGGGTAATGTTTTTCTAGTAATGATCTTTTAAACAGATCTTGGCTTTTTCTTAGTTTTTTCCCCCTCTTTCATGACAAAGAAAAGTAGGCTCAATTCAAAAGGCAACAGGTCAGATGCAGTCTAATGTGTATGAGGTATAGATCTATCTCAATATATATTTATATTTCATTACTTCTCATTGTAGTTTCTGTTTCTACTGTAGGTATTTTGACGTGCAGCTCTGCATATATATAGAAGTCACTAAACTATTGCGACTATTGTTTAGCTGATCTTACTTCTAACACCTGGTGATTCCACGTCTTTTACTCCCAAATACCTCGACATCTATTAAAAATGTAGGCCTACACTAATAGTTGTTTTTTTCTTCAAAGGCAAAGCAAATGAATAAGCTTTAATATTGTGTAAATAACTCAGGATGCCTAAAATGTGACGAGCGACTGGTTCAACCGTGTCATGATATGTTGATTTTCAGGTATTCACACGATTATATTAATGCAGGTATGCCCGTTTTTACAAATAGAATTTGTCACGACTGGTTCAACCGTGTCATTATGCATTTGATTTTCAGGTATCCACAAATATAATTTGTATAGACCTACTTAAAGTTTTTATTTTTCAGGTTTAAAAAAACTATACTATTGCTTTTCACCGATATTTGGAATGTTATAGTATTTCCCCTTCAAATTATGTGAAGATAGCATGTTCAGATATGACATAGGTTTTTGAAATATGACAAAGGAAGATCAAGTGTGACACGCGATTTCTAATATGAACATAGATCATTCTAAACTGTACGTTGTGTTTTCAGATGAGAAGATTGACATTTCAAATGAGGATAAATGCAGAAACAGTTAGTGCAAAATTGCAAGGGCAAACGTAGCATTGTACACAAGCACACACACACACATACACACACACACACACACACACACACA